GGGCCTTCCAAGGAGTTTTTTTGATCATTGTCCATTGGTGCTGATAAAGGATGAAAGAGACTGGGGTCCTAGACCTTTTAGGTTCCTAAATGCATGGAGTTTGCATCCTACTTTTATGGCTATGGAAAAGAAATCTTGGACAGAGGCTGAGACTTATGGTTGGGATGGCTTTAGGCTGAAGGAAAGATTAGCATCTCTGAAGATGGCATTGAAGAAATGGAATGTGGAGGTCTTCGGAAATGTTGATCTTCAGTTAAAATTCGCTGAGGAGGAGCTCCATGAGATTGACTTAAAAGCTGAAGTTGGGCCTCTTCTAGACACTGAAATTGGTGGAAGAAGAGAGTTAAGAAGTTTAGTATGGAAGCTGAAGAAGAGATTGGGATGGATCTGGCAACAAAAATCTAGAATTAAATGGGCTCAAGATGGCGATAAAAATATGAGATTCTTTCATGTGATGGTTAAGAGGAGACAAGCCAAGAATTTAATTGATACAGTTGTTCAGAATGGGGAAGTTATTGGGGAACCAAAGAGGGTGAAACAAGTAGTGGTAGGGCATTTTAGAAAACTGTATTTTGAGGAGTGGAAAAGCATATCAAAGCTGGATGGTCCTTTTATTACCATTGGGGATGATGAGGCAAAGAGGGATTTAGAAGTAGAGTTTACATTGGAAGAAGTGTGGGCAGCTGTGAAAGACTGTGATGGGAATAAAGCTCCAGGGCCTGATGGTTTCAACCTTTACTGCATTCAGAAGAATTGAGAGGTGATGAGAAGTGAAATCCTCTAGTTCATGCATGAGTTCCATAGTAATGGTAAGTTGGCCAAAGGGCTTAATAGTTCATTTATAACATTGATTCCTAAGAAGGACAGTCCAGTAGATTTGGTGGATTACAGGCCAATTAGTTTGGTGGGTTCAATCTACAAAATTCTAGCTAAAGTTCGATCTAGGAGAATTAGGAAGGTTTTGCCTAGTTGGTTACTGAGGTTCAGACAACATTTATTAGAGGAAGGTGTATTCTAGATGGAGTTTTGATTGCCAATGAGATCATTGAGTGGTGGAAATCAACAAAGCAAAAAGGGGTGATACTTAAGCTTGATTTCGAGAAGGCGTATGATTCGGTCAATTGGGAGTTCTTGTGTTCAATGGTGTCTAATTTTGGGTTTGGAGAGAAATGGTTAGGGTGGATTAAGGAATGTCTATCCTCATCTAGAATATCAGTTTTGGTGAATGGGTCACCCACTGAAGAGTTTTCACCGCAAAGAGGGTTAAGACAAGGTGACCCACTCTCACCTTTCCTATTTTATTTGGTGGCTGAGGGGTTAAATTTGCTTCTAAATAGAGCTAAGATGTTGGGGTTGGTTAAAGGAGCTTTGATTGGGTCTAATGGTATGAGCATCTCACATTTGCAGTTTGCGGACAATACTATAATTTTCAGCGAGGCAGATTTGAAGGAGCTGCTATTGATTAAAAGGATATTAAGGTTCTTTGAAGTGATGTCTAGCTTAAAGATAAACTTTCACAAAAGTGTAGTGTGTGGTGTGTGCATTTCTGATTCTGAGGTGAAGGATTTTGCAGGGGAGTTAATCCTAGGAGGAAGTCCGCATGGCAGCCCGTGGTTGATAAAGTTAGGAAGAGGCTGTCTCTTTGGAAGAGGAAGATGTTGTCTTTTGCAGGTCGACTGACTTTGATTAAGGCAGTAGTTGCCTATTTACCATCAGATTATATTTCTATATTTAAGATACCTAAGGGTGTAGCGAAGACAATTGATAAGTTGCAGGCAATGTTTCTCTGGGGAAGCAGTGAGGTTAAGAGGAAAGTGCATTTGGTGACATGGCAGGAGCTTATTAAGCCCAAAAGCAAGGTGGGTTAGGGGTCAGAAGTCTAAGTGAAATGAATGTTTGTTTATCACTAAAATGGTGGTGGTGATATGGTGTTGAAGACAAAGCCTTGTGGAGGGCTGTGATCTGTAGTAAATATGGGCAATATGGTGGTGGGTGGTGGCCTGATGTTGGTGAAACGGGTGATTTGTCTCCAATTTGGCAAGGTATTTCTAAGTATTGCAAAGGATTATCCTCAGGTGCTTGATTTCTATGTGGAAAACACAAAGATAAGGGTTGGGAATGGAGCAAGAGTCCATTTCTGGACTGATATTTGGTGGAATAGTTGTAGGCTCAGTGAAAAGTTTTCAAGATTGTTTAGTCTATCTGTCGCAAAGGAAGGCTCTTTGATGCAATACACTTTGTGTAAGAATTTATTTATTATTGATTGATTGTTGTATTGATGTGTTGTATTACAAATCAGAGTGGCATTATATAGGAGAGGGTTTGGGTAGTAGGTGTAGTGTAGTGGAGGTGGTAGGTGAAGTGGGTGCTAGTGGAGATGGTAGGTGGAGGAGTAAATTGGTAAATTCTAACAGATACTAATTCAACATAGGATACAATTGAATACTGTGACTATTGCAATAAAAGACCAACATGCAAACACAGAGCTTTCCTCATAGCCAGATCCAACGACTTTTTTTTTCGATGCTTCAAAAAAAACATCAATTTCTCTGCTCATAGGATAATTTCATAAATTGTGTTTGGTGCCAAAGTTTCAATACTAACTTGAATAATAAAAAAGTGAGATGAAATCCTTAATGTTGAGAGAACATAATTGCTAATACACTAATACTAATTCAAGTAATATTGCGAATAAATGGCTCCAAGGAAACTTGCACATGTGGTTCTGGCCGGGGAGCCCGGTATACTACACTAATATGTGTAGGTCCCAGGAACCACGGGACCCCCTACTAGTAAATTCTTTAATGGCAATGTGTCAAGTAAAGAGAAGCAAGCATGACTATCATACCACAATAAAAATCAATGTTGACGATTCTCTATGGCACAGACTTCCAAAACTTGTAGTTGGAAAATGGAGCAAGGAAGTGTTTGTTGGAAGCGAATAAATAAAATCTATTTTAGAATTTAGCTATACCTTCTTAAATAAAGATAAAAAAAATTAAACGCTCCTTCGACATTGTCAACAGTTAAAAGTACTCAGATGTGTTAACAATAGAAAAAGTTACAATAGTGGCGATGCATTTCGTGTTTGAAAACTGAAATATTGAAAATCACGAATCCAATTTATAACACCCCAACCCAAACCCTGCCAACCAGTAAGCCAGCCCCTCCCTACCCAACTCCACACTCCACCTCCCCCCATCTTCAATTCAATAATCCAAACCACAAACATTCCAAACCAATTCAAAACTCTCACTTCAAATGAAACTTTTCCCAAACCAAATCCATCAAAATCTTCTTATGCTGAGGACAAATTTCACCAACAAAAAACCAAAACGGACCAAGCAATACACATGCACTTTAATCTACATATCTTCTCGATGCTGCTTGTGAGATTGTCTCTTGGAGTATTTTTTTTGTTTTTGTTTTTGTTTTTGTTTTTGTTTTGGGGTTTTTACAAAGTTTTAGGGTGTATGTTCTCAACACAGTTAATTTATTTAAGCTTTTTTTCACATATTTGATGTCATGTCTAATTGAATGTGCTGAGGAAATGTTGCTATACGCTGAAAAGAATCCAAATTAGTTACCAATGCACAATGACTGCAACTTCCACTTGTAATTTTCAATGCCATAACCATTTTTTTTAAAATTTATTTATTAATATATAACCATTATTTCTTTTTCCCTGTAACAATCAAATAGATTGGAAGTGCAAACGAACTGGGATCACTTTTGGAGCTGATATAACTTTTCTCTTTATGTATTGAAATTTGGGTTCTACTTGACCAATTGTCAAAGTTGCGGATTTGTTTGAGAGGCATGTTTGAATTTGACCTTGTTTTCCAAACAGTACTACAATTTATTCATCAGCAGGTATGTAATTGAGATTCTCTCCACATGGAGTTAGTCAACCTTGTCATCATTCATGTAGTTAATTAATATTTAGAAAGCTTTCACACACTCAATGACCAGTGACCACTTCATATATATTATTGTTGTTATTTTCAGTTGACTACTCTTTTTATGTAAATTTCTGACTGAAGGAGTGCTCCACAATATTGGTGATATGCTCAAAATATGCTTTATAGATTATAATCAGTACATTCACTACTGATACTACTACTGCCATTTGTTTTGATGAAAATAACATAGCATTGAAAATATTATTCTCACATCATTCTAGATGCATTTGTGTAATTTTTTTTTTCTTTTCTTCAAATAGTAGACTTCTTCTCTGATTTATTCTCACATCATTCCAAACCCTAAAAACCTCTTTTTCATTAATGTAAACAACCATTGTAAGGGATGCCGAAACGTGTGGATGGCAAACTTAAAGCGGAATTACTTCAACAGTCCATGGGCATTGATTTCATTTTTGGCTGCTACCATACTACTGCTGCTTACCGTGACACAGACTATCTTTTCCATTCTTTCTTTTGGCAAAGGCAGCTTTTGAGTCCCTATTATTGTTTTCTTAATTGTGTGTGTTAAATTCAAATAAGACAAGATGTTATATGTTATTTGATTTGTTTCATCGTTTTGTGCCATATGATACATTGTCATGTAAGAGGTGATAAATTATTGTTTTCTTAATTGAGTGTGTTAAATTTAAATAAGCAAAGAATCTATAGTTACCTCATTTGTTCCATCGTTTTGTACCATACGATACATTTCCATGTAAGAGGTGACAAAATTATTTTATGCCATATGATACATTGTCATGTAAGAGAGATGATAAAATTGTGACTAAATAAATAAATAAAGCTTGGATTACATTACAGCAAGTTAGATCAATATCAAACTATCAATAAGAAAAGAAATATTGCTCTTAATAATAAGATATATTATATCTAATAAAGTTGATGTGTGTAAACTTTATAAAGCAGTTTAGACCTATTTGAATCAGTCAACTAATCTTCTCCAAACTCATTTTGTTCCTTCCCTAACCACACTCATATTTATAATTTAAGTGCTTTAGGATGAGTCGAAAACCAATTCCATAAACTTGAGTTCAAACATCCCTCAGAATTCATAAAATCGTCACCCTTCTCTTGAGCTATGAAAATCCACAGAGTTTCTGAAATGTTGACAGCTTAAATGGTTACTCAACACATGACACAACAATGTAGTTAGTTTAGAAATCTCTAATTGTTCGTACCAAAGAATTGAACACTCTATGCCCAACTCTAATATTAATTCTTACTGAACTTGAACTTCTAAAATAATTATAGTTCAAATTAAAGCAATAACGATTTAACTAGATTTTTGTTTAAAATATTGTCAACCTAGTACAGACTCCAAACATTAACAATCTCCCACTTTCGACAATTTCATGACAAAATCTACCCAAGCAAATATGCCTAAAAGCCACAAAAACAATGATCCTCTTTGGAGTTGGAGAGAAAGCTCAAAGAACGTATGTGGATTTCTTCAAACTCTGATCAAATCCAATTCATTCATATTCCACAGATCTAGAATTAAAAATTAAAACCAAAACAAGTAATTAAGAACAATAGTAAGTAATTCCCATTGTAATGCACCCTAATCAACCACTTTGTCATCTAATCAAAAGTTTTGAACAAACATCTAGTACTATATCACCACTAAAACGATAATGAAAACTGAAACCGAATATCTATTCAATCACTTGGGATTTAAAATGTCCACAATGCAGAGATACAAAAGATATATATCATCAATTGAATCATTTGTAACAAATGAAGTGTATTCTCTACACATCTTCAGAGTATTATGTGTAAAACCACGGAGTTGAGACACATTCTATGTTCACCTATGTGATTCAGGACGAGAGATGTCAGTAATGGGATGACATTGATAGCCTTCAGAATCTGTAGTAGTGGAAAATCATGGCGTTTGATGTGATGTGGAGAAACAATAAAAACTACACTAAAAACAAAAGAGAAATAGACCAGGTGAAAAAGGACCATATTATTTACTAAACCATTTTACAAAAATACCAGAACTAGACCTAAACATCTGAAGTTTAAACAACCAGGGACTTTAACTAGCAAATAAACTGTAGGGTGTCCTTATGCTCTTGTATAAATTTGTAGAGGAATGTCTTGCTCTTTTTTGTTTTTCTGAAATGAGTTGAAAAAAATTGATTATCCAAAGGTTAAAAATTTTGTATTTTTGACCTACACTTTTGATTATCAATTTTTAATTTACAATAAATTATACCAAATAAACTAAATAACTGTTGGTTAGACTGGGGCAGACAAAGGGAAGAAAAAGGAACAGAGAA